AGGTCATCAGGGTCAGATCAGGGTCAGATCAGGTTCACTACAATATTGACATTAATTGAAAAAAATGTAATACATTTAAACACATCGAACTAAACGTTTTAATGGTAGCTGTGACAATTAAATATTCTTTAAGAAAAAACGGCTATTTTCACTGTATTTTATTGCTGCTTAAAAATAACAGACAATGAGATTCCCAAGCAGGCAGCACGGTGGCGCAACTGGTAGAGCTGCTGCCTCTCAGCGAGCAGGTCCTTGGTTCAAACCCCGGTCCAGGGGCCTTTCTGGGTGGAGTTTGCATGTTCTCTCTGTGCATGCGTGGGTTTTCTCCGGGTGCTCCGGTTTCCTCCCACAGACCAAAAACATGCATGTTAGGCTGATTGGTAACTCTAAATTGTCTCTAGGTGTGAGTGAGAGAGTGAAGGTTTGTTTGACTTGTTTGTCTCTATGTGGCCCTGTGATGGACTTGCGACCCATCCAGGGTGTACCCCGCCCCTCGCACAGTGATTGCTGGACATGGGCACCGGCGACCCCCGTGACCCAAAATGGAATAAGCGGGTAAAGAAAATGGATGGATGGATGGATGGATGAGATTCCCAAGCCTCAACTCTCCCACTACAAGACAAAAATAAGACCCTATTTCCAAATGTAGGGCCAAGAGCTGAAATGGGATTTAGCTTAATGATTAATTTGCTGATCAAAGTCACAAATAAATTTTAAAACCAGTCAGATCAACTAAGCAAAACCAAACAACATCATTGAGGAAATATTATTTGTTCTTGTTGATGTCAGAGCTAAAACTTGCTTGGAATTAGCCTCAGGAAATTCATTTATTGGTTCAAATTTTTGTATTTTGACTGCAGATCAAGTCTTGTAAGACTGATGCTGTGGTGATTTTACAAATCTCTTGAGAATCCAGCTGTCATTTATGATCCTTTCACTGGCACAAAGCAATGCTTTTAATGAGATGAGTTTTAAAGAAAGCAAAAAATGTTGCTTTAGTTGAGTACAAGTCAACATTAATGTCACCTAAACTATTGACCCAAACTCTTACAGGAACTGATTTGGAAAGTGCAAATAAAAATCTTTTCAAAGGCAGGTTTAAGATTATACTTTTTTTTTTTTAGCGTTAACATCCCGTTGATGAGGGTGGTTCAGTCAGTGAGGCAGACAACTCGGCGATCCAGCACATCTATCAAGGAAGGATGGATGGTTCACTACAGCAATAAGGACACACTGGTAAAAACACAGAAAAACATAATCCATAATTCAAGTATCTACATCTCAAATTGTAACTCCTACCTGTGAAGACCGTTAAATCAGTTGATTCTAGTAGACTGAATGAATTTTCTTGACTTTCTTTTCTATCAGTCACAGAAACATTTTGCTTGTTTACTTCAGACTTGTGCAGAAAGAAAAAGTAGCCGTTAATGTACTTCACCCGTCCAGCAGCTTCTCTAACAGCAGTTTCAACCTTGACCGTTTGGTCTCAGCTTTTACGGCTTCCCTTTTCTTCCGTATTTCACATTGGGGGTGGACATGCGTGTTTGCGTGTGTGGGTAAAAGAGTGGCGATGAAGCTGACTGTCAACTAAACAGCACTCAGCTCAAATGTGATGAATTTGGCCCGAGAGTCAATTTTCTACTTTTTCTTCCTCTTAATGAGTAAAGCTTATATTTGACCTTTAAAGTAATTTATTTACCTCTAGTCTTTATCAAACTTTTTCTTTTCCGGCTGCACTAACACTTTTCTCCCTTCTGTCACTTTTGTCTTTTTCTCCTTCTTTGTTTCCACCTTCCTGCAGCTCATATTTTCACTCATCTTTCTTGCTATTTGACAACCTGAAACCAACCCTGAAAGTTCCTGCTGATCCCCAATAATCCCTCGCTCGTTGTCCTCTGCCCTCCTCGTCATTGCTGTGTCTCATTTTTGTTGTCCCGTCCTAACCCAACAGAGGAAAAGGCACTACTGGCGTCTGGACTGTAAGTGCATCATCCTGTTTCAGAACAACACCTCCAACAAATACTACAAGGTAAGCATCGGTCAGCCCATGATTATCCTTATTGTGTTTAAAGTGAGCATGTATTAGTAACACAATGTGTGCTTGCAGGAAATTCCTTTATCTGAGATTCTGCAGGTGCGTCCTGCCACCGACTTCACACTCGTCCCACAAGGCACCAATCCGCACTGCTTCGAGCTCATCACCGGCACTATGTGCTACTTTGTGGGAGAGGACCCCAACACCCTCCCCTCTGTATCCTCTAGCAACTCCCAGACTGTCCCTCGGACACCTCCCTCCCCCAACATGGTGCAGCCTAACAGTGGCATTGGGCGGGAGGTGGCGAACACCTGGGAGAGCGCCATTCGCCAGGCTCTCATGCCCGTCATATTTCAGGACGCCCCCCCGGCCGAAGGGAACACACCTCACAGTAAGCTGAGCATTACGCAGGTTAAAGGGACGGGTCAGAGCTTTTGAAGATGGGTTGTGCGGAGAAGTTATGAACTGTTAATATCTTACCTGTTGTAGTTAGCTTTTTGAACAGCCTCAGTTTGAAGGAACAGATTCTTGTGCACAGCCACGTGTTCATAAACTTCCATGTTTGGGCATAACGTGGGCTTTTTGTTTGTTTTTAGGACAAGCCTCCATAAGCATATCTGTGTCCAACAGTCAAATCCAAGAGAATGTGGTATGATTTTTTTAAATTTTGTTTGATTTTTTTTTTTAATGAATTTCATAAGAAGGCCAGCAGTAACCTATTGCAGCAATGCTTTCTTACAGGATATCAGCATGGTGTATCAGATTTTTGCTGATGAAGTACTAGGATCTGGGCAATTTGGAATAGTGTATGGAGGTATGCGAACATATTTAATTATTCCACCTGAGCTCTAGATATTTGTGTTTTGTATACGTTGAAATAAATACACAAGATGCAAACATTACCGTGTCTAGTTTTGAAACATAAAATAAATTAAAAAAATGTCTATAAGTCCAACAATTTCTCTGAAGAGCAGTGAAGCTCTTTAATGCACGCCACAAAATCAATTTAGAACATCATCAGTGACTTGCATTTAATCTTATCAGGGAAGCACAGGAAGACAGGAAGAGACGTCGCCGTCAAAGTCATCGATAAGCTTCGATTTCCCACCAAGCAGGAGAGCCAGCTGAGGAACGAGGTGGCCATCCTGCAGGTGAGCAAAAACAAACTGCACAGACCTGGAACCCACTGCACTTTAATGCAACGTAAAACTACACAAAGAAGCATTTGTATAACCAAGTGTTTCAAATTTTCCTTTTAGTTTTATGGGAACAATGTTTTCTACCAGAAAACTAAGAATTTAAACACCAGTTGTGAACTTGGACTTGTTTTGATCAGTTGGACCCTCAACTCAATTTACAACATTTCTTCAAAGAGAAGACAGGCTTTAGGCGAGCCGATTTACCCTGTTGGCACGCACGCAGCTGGATATCTCATCGACTTGGAAGACTTGATGATGTGTCTATCTCTGCTGCCATCTGTGGATTTTAAGGACGCGTATTTAATTGGATTTCCGATAACTGGTTCCTGCTTTTTGGATTCAGCTGGTTGCTGGTTTTATCTACAGTCAAGGAAGTCGTCGGCAGCAAATTTGGACCCGATCACGCTGCTTGCCTTTATGATGGCTTGGTTCGTGTCTCGAGTACCCAGACTCAAATGCTTTGGGCTGAATGGATCAGATCATGTGGATTTTACTCAGTCACGTTCCATCGGTGTGGCCATGTATTTTGGACATTTCAGAACCGAGTCGACCAACAAAGACTAAAGGTAGATGTCATTAAGTTCTGCCTGTCCCCAAAACAACTGTGTGTTTATCTGAAGTTGGCTCCCTTGGCTGGCCTTGAAGGCCATCTTATCTGAATTCGCCTGGAGTACATGTGATCTGACATTCACCACCCCCTCCCTGAGGAATTTCCAACTGATAACCAGATGGAACCAGCTGAATAAACTTTGTGTCATCATTTTAGGACTTTTGGATTCTCATAGACGTTATTCTTGGCCATTCCTTGACATACCTCGAGAATGTTTATGGATCTCACCGGAGGACATTGACTGATTTTCCATCCTTATCAGAACTCTTACAGTGACCTCGAGAGAGAGCATCTATGAACATGCTGACTGATCTCGTCTCCTCCGTCTGCAGAAATGTCTACGTTACTATGTGCTTGTTTGTGCGAGGTGTTTTTTAAATATCTGTTTATCTGTTTAAATAAAGGTTGAATGAATGAAAGTTTAGCGGCAACCTCATTTCCATCTAGATAACATTGAAAGGCTTTGATTATCTGACTTCTGCGTTATACTTCTGCTGGCTTTTGTGATGAGTTATCCATCCATCCATCCATCCATCCATCCATCCATCCATCCATCCATCCATCCATCCATCCATCCATCCATCCATCCATCCATCCATCCATCCATCCATTATCTTTACCCTCTTCTTCCTTTTTGGGTCGCGTGGGTCACTGGTGCCCATTTCCAGCTATCACTGTGCGAGAGGCGGGGTATATCCTTATTTTATAATTTTTTTAAATACATTTACTGGTGTAGATTTTATTCCTTTATTTATTTGATGATGTTTTGATTCTTATCCAAGAAACTTTGAACTTTGGAAAGCTGCAAAGATGTCTTGTTTGTAAAACTCGCATCATTTTCTTTAATAAGCAGTTTCAGTTTGCCTTTAGGGATGCTGTCAGTGTTCATTTCTTGAGTAACATTTATTCATTTCAACAAAATTGTAATTTCTATGTTTTATGTCCTTTAAATTCTACTTTTCATCTGTTAATGAGCAACAATAAACCACATCATTTTACTTTTTTAGGTCTTTAAAGTAAAACAAACAGGGGAAAAAAAGCATTTGCAATAAATGGCCTCAGCCATTGAGAGATACAGAGAGGAAAGTAAAAAGTGAATGTTAGGCTGTTTTATTGTTGCTTTCCTAAATTTTAGACATATCCGATTTTTAAAATTACAGCCTTAGTGCTGCAAGCTGCCATAAAAAAAAAAACTTTATTTATAAAGCACTTTCAAAACAACACCGTTGGCCAAAGTGCTGTACACTAACACATACAAGCAGAAGAAGAAGAATACACGCATAAAAACCATAAACTCAACAGATACCGTAAAGTAATGAGCTACCAAAATTATAAAATGGCAAACATTAAAAACAATAAAACAAATAACTTAAAAACAGTAAAACCAACATTTCAAGCTGAGTTAAAAGCCAAAGAGAAAAATTATGTCAGTATTATTGTATTTGAATTCATATTTGAAGATACAAAACTTTTATAATTTTTTTTACCAGCAGATGGAGACAGAATTGAACATCTGAACTTGTTTTCAGACATAAAATATCCAGCTGACAGTTTTATTTATACTTAAAAAGAAATAAACTTCTATAATAATAAAAGTAAACTTGGCACAGTTTATCTTATAAACAAAATCCTTTTAAATTGTATACATGTGAGTTAATGAGTTCTGAAACTGCCTTCTAGGATCTTTTTCTGTGGCTTTTTTTTTGTTTTGTCACATAATACTTATTATTTTCTTCTTGTTGTTGACTCCCCATCAGTCTTCAGTGTTGTCCTGTCTCTTGCTGACACGTCACTGAGTCCTGCTCTTCTCTCAGATATGCAACAATATGTCTCTTACTCCATTAAATATGTTTATGCAGTCTTCACTCTGAATCTGTCCAAACTTAGTTCACGACAAACCCCACAGTTAACCCACATTTTCTTCATGTTTCTTTCAGAGTTTACGCCACCTGGGCATCGTGAACCTGGAGTGCATGTTTGAAACCCCAGAGCGAGTGTTTGTGGTGATGGAGAAGCTGCATGGCGACATGCTGGAGATGATCCTCTCCAGTGAAAAAGGCAGACTGCCGGAAAGACTCACTAAATTCCTCATTACTCAGGTGAGTGCACCCAACAAAGGAGGGATTTATTTTGTAAAACAGAAGAACATTGTCATCCCTTATGTTGCTGGAATATCAGAGAAACTCAGATGGATTTTCTCCAAACACAACATCCCAGTGCATTTCAAACCCAACAGGACTTTCAGAAAGAGGCTGGTCCAGCCTAAGGACAAAACACCCATACACGAACAGAGTGGTGTGGTGTATGCAGTTCAGTGCAGCGAGGAATGTCCAGATCTCTATATTGGAGAAACCAAACAGTTACTTCACAGACGCATGGCTCAACACAGGAGAGCCACCTCCTCTGGACAAGACTCAGCTGTTCACCTCCACCTCAAGGATAAGACATTCTTTTGAGGACCAGAATGTTCATATTTTGAACCGAGAAGACAGATGGTTTGAGGGGTGGGGTGGGTGGGGGGGCGTTTATCAAGGAAGCTATTTATGGAAAATGAGAGAAACCATCTTTAATCAGAGGAGGAGGTCTCAGATTTCAATTTTCAAAAACTTATAATGCAGCTTTAGACCAGTCAGTTTAACGCCAATCAAGAACTTCATCCATGTGACCAGCGTAGAGTTGCATTCGGGCCCAAAAAATCCGACCCAACTCGGCCCCAGCCCGTAGCCATCATTTCCTAACCCGACCCGACAAATTAACAGTAATTACAGGTTTGAACCTGAAACCCCACCCCAACATTTTTAATTAATCTTTGACTGCTTATAAAGTTATTAACAGTCGGTGGATGCGTGTGGCTGAATCAAAGGGCAAAAATCGGAGCTGAGGGGGTGTTTGTCCTTTCATGGCCGTCAAATCGCATTAAATCCCTGCTTCTGCCTGCATTCTGCATTATTCAGACACGGACCCTGCTCTGACATGTCTGCGAGGCTATTTTGGGATCTCACCTGTTTGGGGCATTGGCCACGTGCGTCCACTGAGTGCAGCGGCTGAATGAACGTCCATTTGAGCTTTGATGGATCGCTGCCTGGCAGTACAGTCCCATCTGAAGCTAACTGAACTTTTTACCTCTTTCAAGGCCGGTCAGCGCGCGGTCAAATGGCCGTGTGCGGCTGGCAATATATGGCAAGCCATGTTGCCATATAATTGGATCGTCAGCTGCGTGCGTCCGCTGACGCAGTCAAAAGCCCGACACCGACCCGGCCCACCCATCCAGTACATTATTATGGCCGGGCCGGGTATTGGGCCTGAATTAGAAATGACAGCTCTAGACCAGAGAGGTCCATCTATGAGTCAAACTCACAACGACCCTAACAAACCTCTATTGTGAGGAGCGTGAGGGCAATCTGCATGTGAATCTAGCTTACAGAACATGTCAGCTTTATAACTCAAACTCCACTCTTTCCATTCTCTGAATTGAGAAAGCTCCTCAGAAGAGAGGTGAAACATCTTCAGTTACAAAATAAAGTCCAACTGTTTGTTTTAACTTTTTTTGTTTTGGTAGAAATGAGCTACATGTTACTGTTGTTGTCCAGTTTTATGATAAACAATGTGTAGATACTGCTCTGTCTTCTTTCACATAGCTTGACTGAGCATCATTTTGAGAGATATAATCAAGCGTGACTGTAGTTTCCCCCGTACCACTTGCTAACGGTGATGTTGTGGGTATGTTTGTGCACGTGTGGTTGTGTGTGAGAAGATTCTTGCAGCTCTCAGACACCTCCACTTCAAGAACATCGTTCACTGTGATCTGAAGCCAGAGAATGTGCTGCTTGCCTCTGCTGACCCTTTCCCACAGGTACTCGCACCAGTAAACACCCACATCTGTAAGCTGCTTTAAATAGGAGCAGTTCCAGTTCTCACACGCTGTATGAGCACATCAAACACTTTGACCTGTTTTCTCACATCTATTGTTCTCAGAAGTCTCACCAGCTTGCTTCAAGAGGAACGTGGCCTGACTTTCTGCTCACATTTGTCTCGTTGTTTCTTTCAGGTGAAACTGTGTGACTTTGGTTTTGCCCGAATTATTGGTGAGAAGTCCTTCCGCCGCTCCGTGGTTGGCACACCTGCTTACCTGGCTCCAGAGGTTCTGCTGAACCAGGGCTACAATCGCTCTCTGGACATGTGGTCAGTGGGTGTCATCATGTACGTCAGCCTCAGCGGGACGTTCCCGTTCAACGAGGATGAGGACATCAACGACCAGATTCAAAATGCAGCCTTCATGTACCCTACCAACCCCTGGAACCAGATCTCCAAAGATGGTAAATGAAGAGCAGCGGGAACCCGAGGGAGGCTCTAATAATATTACAGTGGTCTAATAGTTTAAGTAGTAGTGCGCTAAACTCAATAAAGTTTAATGTTCTGCTGAAACTATTTAAGTGAGGTTGTAATTCAATGTTGTGAACGTTTTAAGAGAATAACACATGTGCTTCAAGGTTTCTACGCAGACTTAAAAAGTGCTGAATGTGTGTTAAAGTATTTTCTGGGTCTGGATAAGTTTTGGGGGAAAATGACTCAGGAAAGTTCAGTGTTGATGGAGTGGCACGGTGGTAACGTGGTTAGAACTGCTGCCTCACACCAAGAAGGTTTAGCGTTCAAAACAAAGCCAGGGCCTTTTTTGTATAGAGTTAACATTTTCGCTGCATGCATGAGTGGGTTGTTTCTAGTTTCCTCCCACATTCCAAAAACATGCATGTTAGGTTAATGAGCAGCTCTGAATAGTCTTGTTTGTCTCAGTGGACCCTGTGATGGACTGACCTGTCCAGTGTGTCCCCCAGCTTTCACTCAATCACAGCTGGAGATGGATACCAGCTCCCCTGGACCCTGAAAAGTTTTCTTCTTCTTTTGTTTTTTTCCTCTTCAGGGGTTGTCACAGTGAGTCATCCTCCTCCATCCCTCTGTCCTCATCATTCTCTGTCCTCACTCCAACTACCTCCATGTCCTCTCTAACTGCATCCATATATCTCCTCTTTGTCTTTTTCCTGGCAGCTGCATTTCTAACATCCTTCTACCAGTATACCCACTGTCCCTCCTCTTGACATGTCCAAACCATCTCAGTCTGGCCTCTCTAACTTTATCTCCCAGTTGTTCAACCTGTGCTGTACCTCTGATGATCTCATTCCTAATCTTATTCATCCTTGTCACTCCTAAGGAGAACCTCAACATCTTTATTTCTGCCACTTCCAGTTCTGTCTCCTGTCTTTTTGTCCATGTCTCTGTCTCCAGACCAGACAACATAGCTGGTCTCATCACTGTCTTGTAAACTTTTTCTTTGACTTTTGCTGACACCCTTTTGTCACAAATCACTCCTGAAACTTTTCACTTTTCCCTGAACCCTGCAAAGTAAATTGGGTAAAGAAAAAACAGATGGATGGATGTTCTACACCAGAACTCCTGTTTCCCTGCTTCAAACAACTGAATGACCTACTCAGACTGTCATGTTTAACAGAAGCCTGTCAGTGACTCAATCATTTCAGTCAGGTTTGTTGAAGCAGGGAAACGTGTAAAACATGCTGAACTCTGGAGGTCTCTGTTCTACATGAATCCCAAGCTTCTTCCAGTGACAGCAGCTGTGGGTGAGAGTACACTTTATTAAACTATCTAAACTTAAAAAAAGATGCAGCACAAGAGCAGACTATCAACTCGTTTACAATTTATCAAATGTTACCCCAACCCTTCAGCTTTTTTTAGCCTCAAATGTAACATAATTTTACAAAATGACCTCATAATTTACTGAAGAAACCTTACGTTTTTTACAAATCTCTTTTAAATTAATGTGTTTTTTTTATTTATTCGAACAAAAGTGTCGTTCATTGCAAAACACCTTTGTGCACAGTGTGCCGCTGTTTTTAATGATTTTTGAAGCACCCAAAAATAAAAGCCTCAAGTACTGAGACATTATTTTGAAAAAAGACTAGAAATTCAATTAAAAGAATAGAAGCTTATAAAAATTGACATTTGAAAATGGAAATAGTGTTGAATCCCTGGTGCGTCCACAGCCTGATCAGTCCTAATGTTATAATCAGCTGACTATTGTCCAACTGATAATCTTTATTGTTGCTTTACCTTTTATAAAGTTATCTGAATGTTTGTGTTTGCAGCAATCGACTTGATCAACAACCTGCTGCAGGTTAAGATGAGGAAACGTTACAGTGTGGACAAAAGCCTCAGCCATACCTATTTACAGGTGGGATAAAATCACTATGCGCTCAAATACACACCTGGCTCATAAATGTTTATTTTAAAACAGATATGGTTTTCCCTTTGGGTGTTTTATCCTCCTTCCAGTCCATCTTTGTCCCCCAGTGAGAGAGTTACGTATTTTTCGGACTATAAGGCGCACGTAAAATCCTTTAATTTTCTCAAAAATCAACAGTGAGCCTTATAATCCAGTGCACCTTATGTATTAATTCTGGTTGTGCTTACTGACCTCAAACCGATTTTATGTGGTACACGGTTCAAAAATCAGTCAAAATGTTTTCGTTTCGCTTAATGCACCTTATAATCCGGTGCGCCTTATAGTCTGAAAAATACGGTAAATATATTTTACTCTCTCCACAGTCTTGATCAACACTTTAAAATCCTCATAAAATCTGCATTTGTTAAACAAAATGCTTAATGTTTTAAGCCCCAAGAGTCTGCAGCTATGTCAAAGGTATAAACTCAGAGTTAAAGGGTGACATGTATGAATTATAAATTATATGAGGATGTAAGAGGAGGAATTAGCTGTAAGAATGATGGGTTTGTGACTCTGAAGGTTACTGTTTTGTTGAAAGAGTGACATGCTTTAATTAATCTTTCATGATAACCCCTAACTGCATGAAAATGTCATTTATAATTTCAGGGTTATTCTATTTTTTCGTATTTTTTAGCCTAACTCCTGCAAATAAACACACACTCAGCCTAAAGTAATTACTGGATGGTGCATTATAGACCTGTCAAACTCATAATAGCCCCTTTTAACATCAACCTCACTTCAAGGCTTTCTGAAAGTGACATTTCATCCTCTCTGTTTGCGCCTCGTTTTTCCAGGACTACCAGACGTGGCTGGACTTGCGGGAGCTGGAGGCCAAACTCGGTGGGCGTTACATAACCCACGAGAGCGACGACAGCCGCTGGCAGATGTACGCTCAGCAACACAGTCGGTCTTACCCGCCTCACCTCGTGCCTCCTCGCCCAGCGTCGGCCTCCGATGATGAGAACGGGGATTCCGATATGCAAGGCCTCACCGAGAGGGTCAGCATCCTCTGACCACAGATTGACAGGACTCACCTGGAAGGACGACAGAAGATAGTTTGCAAATCAGTTCCTGTGAGGGGGGAAAAGCGTCCTGCTGTTTGGATTCATCCACGCTCGGTTTGCGTCACTTTCACGTCTCTCCCTTCAAACCGGAGGCCTTCAGGGCTTCTTTTCATCTTGTTACACCTCTGCTGTTACTGACTCTGTCATCTTTTGAAGTTCTGAATTCTTTTTGTCCAGGAAACCGCTCCGGTTCTATTTCAAACTCCAGTTTTCAGCATTGACCCGGCGAGTCTTTACAGATAAAAGCTGGAGTCAAACTTTAACTCTGAACTTGGCGATGGAATGAATCACAGCATGACTGATTTTATTTTTTTAAATCCAGTCACTGCAATGTGCCTCGGAGTGAAACAGGAAACATAATTTTACCGCAAGCTAAGTTCTGAATTACATACATGTAGGTTCATATCAAAGGAAGCTGCAGGTAGACTGATGAGAATTGCTGGTTTTCACACACCTTCAATAAATAGCTCTATTATTCAGCGATGGTTCTTTTAAAGCCTTTCCTTGACGGTATTTACTAAAATTTATTTTAAGGAATCAAATGAATTCTCGTAAACTCACATCCTGGATGTATTGATCTGGCAAAAGCATATTTATAGTAATTGCCACCAGTTTTGAACCACAAAAGACTCTGAAAAACATACGTAATTACCAATGCCATTGTGGGTTTAAATGAACTCTAGAAGCGGACCTTTATTATCAGACTTTTTTCTCCTCTTCTGCCCCCACAAACATTTCTGCCTGCAGCTAATATGACACAACTGGAGCCCGAGGAGCTGTTGCTGAGTGGGGAAAATTGTTCTCATTGTGCTTAGACCTTCCCTGACATTAGGCGGTCCATCTAAATGAAGAGTAACACGTCTTTACAGCTTGATTGTTAATAATGAGCAGATGAATGAACTCGTCATTTAGCAGAAGCACACTTCTCTGTGAAATCTAATTGCTAGGAAGGACAAAATGGGTTACTAAGCTAGACATTTATGTTTATCTAGTTCAGTTATTGACTGCCTTTTGCATCAACTTGTTGCATGTTATTTTGTGAAGTAGAATAAAATAGATGTCTTCTGAACAGGCTGTAGTTATGATGGTCTATTATGAAAAGCTATATGTGCAACCTGTTTGAATTACGCTCCTGACCTTTATAACTGATAATACAACCTTTTAACAACGTTCTGTTTGTCCGGGGTGATTTATTTATACATCCACAACAATTTTTTAAAATTATTTTAAGCATTCTCAAAACTAAACATGATGCCGGTGTGAATAAATCTCTCAGCTGCATTTAGACGCCATGTTCAAGAACAACTGCCAATCAGGGATTCTGTATTGGAAGCTTTGCTTTGAATATAAAATAAAAGATAGAACCATTTGAGCTGAAGCAAGAAATTACTTCTCACCTCTCTGACTGACAGGGTTATTTTTTTCAGTCTGAAGAACAAATTATTTTAAATGCGCCTGGTGTCATTTCTTTTCAAATACACTGACATTAGGGCCCGTGTTCTTATATGGACCAAACATGGATTTAATTAAAGATCTGATGGATTCACGAATTTATGTGCTCATGAAGATAACGAAGAAAAAAAAAAATACAGATGACTTTTGGCAGACAAAATCAGGATTCTTTTCTGCAGATCACAGATTGAGTGGAACTGGGAAGGTCCCTGAAGCTGTAGAGGAGACGAGAGGGTGATTTGTTTTCCATTCTTTGATGGGTGCACTTCAGTCGATTCTGCTGAAAATGCATCCTTGTTCACCTCCAATACTGCAGCCATCATCATTGCTAAATGGTGCCAAATCCTGCTTTCTTTCTCTCTTTATGTCGCCTTTTATCTTGTTCAAGTGTTGGCTGTTTGTCTCCATGCCACCAGCTACAATATTTGAGGCTATTGTTTTTGCACTGGCAGGTAGAAGCGGAGACTGAAATAGGAAATTAAATTTCTATTTTGCTTTATTAATGTCCTGGAAGGGCGGGGGTATAGTGGAAAAGACATTCTAACCAGGCATGGATGGCAACTTGACAAGCAGAAGTTTTCCATTAAAATCAGTCTTGTTCTGAACTGGTCTGATTAATAACCTTGAGCTATAAGCACAGTCTGTTCACTGAAAATACACCTGCTTTTAGCTGCTATAGCAACTGATTTTGACTTCAGAGCTTCATTGGAATGTGACCATGATGGTCCGATATTTGTCTTACATGAGAATGAAGAATGCTTGTTAGTAAATTCAGTTTTGTGTGATCAAATTGATGCATTTGTCTGGCAGGTACAGTGTAAAACAAGAGCATTGTAATGTACTTTGTGCTTGGATAACACTGGAAGTAGCTCAGTTATTAGTTTCAGAGGATTGCTGGTCTTGGTTTGCTGGATTGTGTGTAAAGGAGTAAATGAGACTTAAATACGGTGGCGAACAGGTGAAAATGCACAGCAAATGGCTAAACACACAGTAATTGGAGAAACGTGCTGCAAACTCATGAATGATGCAAACTGAGGAACTGAAAATATATTTTTTAATATAAATTGTAAGCCACAGTAATCAAAATTAGAAGAAATAAATGTTTTAAATATTTCACTCTATGTCTAAGGAATCGTACCGGTAATATATGTTTCACTTTCTGTTGTTCTGTGTTTTTGGTATTGGCAGCATTTTTCTTTTGCTTTTGTTTGTTAATGAGTTTTTCTGTTGTTTGTTGTATGTGTGTGTTTGTGTGTTTAGGAGTTTGCATCATTCATGTGTTTGCAGCATGTTTCACTGTGACACTTGTTGGCTATCATACTTAAAGCCTCACATCTCTAGTGATCAGAACCTGGTTCCAAAAACAGCAACATGGCAGCGTCTGTAAAAGAGACCTTGTGGCTTTAAACAACCACAGGAGATGACGATACCTTGCCCATCTTTTTGTCCTCCATTGCCTTAAGCCCATCTTTGTTATATACTTGCAATTTGAATGTTTTTGTAAAGTTCTTCAGCTTTTGCACTTTATTTAACTTTCAGTTAAATTGATAATTAGAAATGTATGATAAAGGGGAAAGTGGAGTAATGGAGTTTATTGCTGCTCAGAGAAATTACCCTCCCACCTTAAGTGCGGCCTGACATAAACAGTCTTGAGGTTTTTACTCATCTCACGAAAACCTCAAACTGAAAGTTAAAAACCTTGTTTTCTCTGGAAATACTTAGATTGTAATTGTGCAACATGATCACAAATGTTTGGACTTTTCTCAACACTTGACGGTTGTAGAAGCAATGATCTGTAGATGGTTCAAGTGCATTAGATGTTTAGGCCCCTGCACTTAGGCATAATGCATTTTTAAAGAGAATAAAGCATCTTTGCAAAACTATTTACAAAATGACAAAAGATTATGGCGCAATATCAGTTTTTAGACCCATAAAATCAAACAAAAGTTGCTTCATATCAAACTGTTGTAAAGGAAAAAACATATTTATCAGAAGAATCAGCCACATAAGCCTTAATCCAGAGTTCTGTGGAAAGCGTGGTCCTGCTGCTCAGAGTGGTGTCTGATTTTAATTTTAAACTGACCACCTCTACTGCATCATCAACAGGAATGCACGTAAAGAGTGCTGTGACATCAAAAGAGACCATTGTTTCATCAGTCTCCATGATGACATCCCTCACCTTATCCACAAAGTCCATGGTGTTCTGTATGTGGTGTTCTGAGCTGCCGACTAAATACATTACGGCAAAGACTGGTTCATCCCAAAGATCCAGTCCCCCGGCACAAACAGAGTAATGTTGTGTATGCTGTTCAGTGTCAGGAGGGCTGTGATCAGTCTTACATCGGGGAAACTAAACAGCCACTGGCCAAAAGGATGGCCCAGCACAGAAGATCAACATCATCAGGCCAGGATTCTGCGGTCTACACTCATCTCCAGGCCAGCGGTCATTCTTTCAGGGATGAAGATGTTCACATCCTGGACAGTGAGGAACGATGGTTTGAGAGAGGAGTAAAGGAGGCCATCTTTGTGAAAAGAAATCGTCCATCATTAAACAGTGGTGGAGGCCTCCGGGTTCAACTGTCCCCCTCTTACAATGCTGTTATTGCTATTATCACTCAACCCCCTGTGAATAGTAAACAGCCATCAGTGTGCTAATGATCCATTTTTAAGCTGATGGTCCTTCTTGACCATGTGAGCAGCTGGTTTTGGTTGTCAGCAGTGAACTGGTTGATCCACTCTGAGTAGGTGCTATTTAAGAGACTGAGCTGAATACAGCACCTCAGACTGAGGAAGTCTTTCGGATGAGAGACAAAACGTTTCTATATTTTTTTGCTTTTTTTTTTTTTAATATCCAGAGGAACACATTGAACTTTTTTGGATGTACACTGACTACTTTACATTGTGTCAAAGTGTCATATCTTCAGTGTTGTCCCATGAAAAGGTGTAATATCATTTTTACAAAAATGTGCGGGATGTACTCACTTTTGTGATTATACTGAATATATAATGAATTCACTAGACAAAAAGCAACTCAAATGTTTTCTTCAGGTGGTGAAACAGATTTTAGGATTGTTATACATATTAAACATAAAATTTGTAACATTGCCACATTGCAAACTTAATTCAAAGCATCTGTTTTCACACAATCCCCTCTACCTCAGCTCTTGTGTAGCTGTGAAATTACACATCATAAAGGGTGTTGCATAAGATCTAGATTGGTATGCATGTCTAACACAAAAGAAACCCTTCACTGTATCAAATGCAACCACATCTGACTAAATCTGTACTGTCCAACATAGACACTGTACTTATTACCCTCTGCTTTAGGAAGTGGATATACAGTATGCTCCCTTAAAACCGAACTCAGAGATACAAAAACTCTTTTGTTTCACTTTCAATTTGTGAAATCACTTTTTCCTCCTCTGGACATGTCCAAAGTATCTCAGTCTAACCTCTCTAATGTTAGCTGTACTTTTGATGATCTCATTCCCAATCTT